ATTGATTTAATCAACCCCTTTTCCCTGAGTTTGAGCTGGTATCACGTGGTGTTTTTAGGCCAGGCCAGCCCCCACTTGAGTCACCTCATTCGCATTAACCCTCAGGTGGGGGTCCTGAAGCCTCATCAAGAACACTTGAACCATGAGAAATTCCAGAGAACCAAAGGCAAAAAACAGATTGTTTGGATAAAGTTAAATTATTTACCCCATAATACCTTTACGAAGAATAATCTGGAACCTTGCTTTTGGGGTCATGGGAAGTCATAGCCTTTGAAACTTAGAAGAGATTTTTAAAGCCATAGAGCCCAGGCTCCTTCTTTTACCTGGGCTGAGCTCAAACCATCCCACAAAAGTGAAAATGAGCTCCCTGCTACTTATGTTTTTCCCATCAGTCATTCCTGAAATGGGAAATACCGACTTGGGGTTGCCTAACCCAACTAACATCTGAGTGACTCAGCAGAAGTATATCTAGATTCTCAGAGTGAGTAATTTCCATTACTTGTTGAGCAAATATTGGGAGGGTGTGCCTTCTTTTACTACCATTATTACTAAAATTTATACCCTAATGATTAAATCCTCCGAAGGAAGATGGGGCAGTCTACTTCTGTAGTGATACTGCCTTGGAAACCCAAGGAGAGGTCGCTAATAGTCGGATCCAACTCGAGGGCACATAACAACAACAACAACAATGATTAAATCCTAGGAAAGAGAGATATATTTGAATTTTCCCTGTCAGAATTTTGTGACTTGGGTATTGTATTCAGATCTGGATACTATAGAAGAATCTTGGGAAATAGAGCAAGGCCAGAGGAAAGAGACTAGAATTGGTAGTGGACAAGAGCATCATAATGAAAATAATTGAGGAGATTTAGCTTAGAAAAGAGAAGGTTACATTTTAGAGTTTGGGATGGATGAGTGAAAATTATCTTCATATATTTAAAGAAGGAGACACCTTAGATTTGTTTGTATGTTGAAAGGTTACACATAGCACTGAGAGTTCTGTAGAACCTGTATGCTGGTAGATTTTGACTGTGTGAGGAACCATTACAACTGTTTGAAACAGTTACAACTGTTTAGTTTTGAGATAAGACCAAGAGCCTTTCCTATTGGAAACTTTGTAGTGACCACTTTGTTCCTCATAAGACAGCTTTGCTGGTTCATTTTCATCTTGTTTTTCTGCACTCACTCACTGCTGTCAAATGGGATCTGACTCATAACGACCCCTCCTTGGGTTTCTGAGGCAGTATCACTATGGAAGTAGATTGCCCAACCTTTCTTCTTAGCTTATTAGCTAAGGAGTGGCTTAGTGGGTTTGAACTGCCAGCCTTCTAGTTAGCAGTCAAATACCTTAGGCACTATGCTACCAGAGCTCCCTTGGCTGCATTAGGGGTCCTCTTACCTAAGATGATTGGAGGTACTTTCATGCTACCTGGGCTGCTTTTCCATTTTAGGATTGAATGAGGAGAGAGGAGTCACCAGCACTAGTTGCTGCTGCCCAGATGATCCTGGGTCTGCCATTAACTTTCAAGATGGGATTTGGCAGACTAATAGAGAAGAAATAATGGGGGAGAAGGGGTGTTAGCAGTAGCTGTTAGAAATAAGGCAGTTGTCCAAGGTCTTACAGCTAATAAGTAGCAAAGCTAGGATCTGAACATGGGAAGGCAGGCTCTGGATCCTGCATTTCTAAGTCTGTACTCTCTATCTTGGCTGGCCTAAAATTGAGTGATATAGGGAAATGGTATAGTGCCTGAGGCATTTGACTGCTAACCAGAAGGTTGGCGGTTCAAATCCACCAGCCACTCCACAGTAGGCAGACTGGGCAATCTACTTCCGTAAAGATTTACCACCTCAGAAACCCAAAGGGGCTCTCTATGAGTCAGAATTGACTCCATGGCAGTGAGGTTTTTTTTTTTTTTTTTTAAATAAATCACCTGGAAAAGACAGAAAGATATTTATGTCAAGACTTCTGGTTGTTCACTAGAACTGGGCATCATCTGGGAGGTAATTTTGGAAACACAAATATCAGGATCCACCTCCCCCCACCCTGTCCCATATGCATACACATTCTAATTCAGGGAAAGAAGCCATGGCGTCTTGGCTTAGCCATTTCTTACCTCTTGAAACAAACAAAAATCCATTGTGGTTGAGTAGATTCAGACTCATAGCAACCCTGTTGGTCAGAGTAGAACTACCCCATAGAGTTTCCAAGACTGTAAATTGTTACAGGAGCAGATTGCCACATCTTTCTCCCTCTGATGGGTTTGAACCTCCAACCTTTTAATTAACAGCCAAGAGCTTAATCACTGTGTCACCAGGGCTCCTTTCTTACCTCTTAAAGATGTACTTGTGAGAGTAGGATACCATTGAGCCAAGCCTGCACCCTTTTCTTGGGAAACTCTCTTTCATGCATTTGCAATTCATTGCAAAGAATAAAGGACAAAGAAACAACAGTTTGGTACCAGAGTCACAAAGTGTTTGAACCAGCTGTAGATGACACAGCCTAAACCTCTCGTAGTATAGGACAGTTGAGGGCAAGGACCTTCTATAAAGCCATCTCAAGTGGCAAAGCTGGGCCTGGAGGCCATGCCCCCTGATTTTGGCTTTTAGGAGTTCTTGGGTAGAAGGAATTCTAGACTAATAGGGGGTTGCTACACTAACAATAGACTGCCTCTATTGAGAAGTCTTCCATTGAGTTCCTTAGCAGAATATGCTAAACATAACATAGTTCTGTTTTTTATGGTTTATTCAGGCTGTAGTAGAGACATAGCCAGTGTTTACTTGGTGATTTACATTGGTTAAAGATATAAAAAATAACCTGGAATTGAACACCCAATCTTGTCATAAGATGAATACTTCTCTCCCAGCCTCAGGTTCCCTTTTGTGACAATCTCTTTGCTGCATTAAGAGTCTTCAGTGCTTTCTGTGTACTTTTATATGTGCACATACCATGTAGCTTTGTTGTTGGGTGCCATCGAGTCAGTTTGGACTCATATTGACCATGTGTTCAACAGAACAAAACTGCCCAGTCCTACACCTCACAATCCTTGCTTTGCTTGAGCCCATCTTTGCATCAGTGTCAGTCCATCTCATTGAGGGTCTTCCCCCTTTTTTACTGACTCTCTTTACCAAACATGATATTCTACTCCCAGAACTGGTCACTTCTGACAATAAGGCCAAGGTACGAGAGACAAAGTCTGGCCATTCTCACCTCTAAGGAGCATTCTGGCTGTTACCTCTTCCAAGACAGATTTGTTCATTCTTCTGCCAGTCCATGGTGTTTTCAGTATTTTTCACCAACACCACAATACAAATGCATCAATTCTTCTCATGTACCTCTAACCAGAAAAAAACTCACTGCCATTGAGTCGATTCCAACTCATAGTGATCTCTTTGGGTTTCCAAGGCTGTAAATATTTACAGAAGCAGATGACCTCATTTTCCTTCTGCAGAGTGGCTGTTGTTGTTGTTATGTGCCATCGAGTCGCACCTGATTCATAGCGATCCCTCCTTGGGTTTCCGAGGCAGTATCACTACGGAAGTAGATTGCCCAACCTTCCTTCCAAGGAGTGGCTGGTGGGTTTGAACC